CAGCGATGGGTTCAACCACGAAAAGCTATTGGACCAAATGAGACAGCTTGCTGATTCAGGATGGAGTCCTGTGCCGTAAATGGGACAATGGTCGAGAAGACAGCTGTCGTTTGCAAATGGTTGTCCCTAAAGCTAAAGTGCCGAATGTTCTACAGCTGTGCCATAATGGTCGTTCAAGAGTCCATCTGGGAGTTAAACGAACTCTGCTGAAGGTCCGAGAACAGTTTTACTGGGTCCATTATCGTGACGATGTCGAGGCTTGGTGTCGTACATGTACAAGTTGTGCGGCCGTGAGGGGACCTCGGACATGTAGTAGAGGAGCACCGAAATTGTACAATGTTGGTGCACCATGGGATAGGACAGCCCTTGACATTGCGGAGCCGTTACAGAAAGGCGCAAGAGGGACTCCTAAGATCGTCCATGTGGATCGCCTGGCGCGTTATTATGGGGCCGATAATGCTCGGGACGAGCGTGTCTTAGGAGGGGGCAGTGTTACGCGCCTAAGTCGACGGCACTAGCGCCATCTAGTGTCAGAGACGAGAGCGAGGGAGCTTTCCAGAAAATTACATCACTAATCTTTCAACCGACAGCGCCATCTAGTCTCGAACCGAAGAACTAAACTTCTAGAAGTTGAAACTCGAACTCTCGGTACCTTGCGCATGTTTACTTGAATATTCTGGATATTTCGGTGCTAATTTATATTTATAGGCACTGCAAGATGCGATCGGTGAAATATTGAATTTGGCGAGACAAGCGAAGCTTCGGAGCGAAATAAAGTGAATTAGTGTGCTTAATTATTGGTGTTTTAAACTTTAATTTGTGTAAAGAAAATTAAAGTGTTAATTTAGGTAATTTTATCGGCAATTTTTATTGTCACGAACCTCAACAGTAATTTGGACATTTGGCTCGTAACAGTATTTTGGACATTTGTATTCTTCAATATTAAAAATTCTATCATTCGTCAACATTTTTAAAAATTGTTTTTCTGTTGAACCACCTTTGCATGCGATCACTTCGTCTTTGCACAAATTTCTAATATACCAATTTAATATGGGGATGATGTTCTCTTGTTTATTGGCACATTTTAATTCTTCGGTCACATCAAAATATGGAATGCCGTGCACGTGTGTTTCACAATAACCAACAGTTTTTTTTGTCTTTTGGTTACAAATAATTGAAAGGATAACTTGGCCGAAACAAATAATGACCGATAAACGCATCATTTTTATTAGATAGTTTTACGTCTAGAATAGCCATTTCTCTACATTGAAAATGTTTATGAGGATATGTAATGTAAAATCCGTCCATGTCGATGATGTATCTAATATTTTTTAGATTTTGTGTCATTTTGAACCAAAATGTTAAAAGTATTTACACGTGACTAAAAATATGTTTGTTCCAACAAACTTCACATAACAATGCTTCATTACTTCCCATCATCCCATTTCTTCCTTCTGCTCTTGTCTTCCTGTAATTTAAGTAAACAGAATCACATTCACTAATGATCAACTAATGACTGTCATTGTTAAAAAAGTATTTTTTAACTACTCTAGTATTCGTAGATGCGGTACACACACAATATTTAAATATAATTTGATAACACTAAATCATACACACGTAAGAAAATAACAGAAAGAAAAGTAAGTTTGTCAATTAGAATAAACACTTAAAATTGCAATTAACAATTTAATTAATGCCTGTGGGGATCGAACCCGGGTACTGTGAAATTTACAGCTTACGCTAACCATCTGAGCTACTCCGGCTTAATCATATACACACACACACACAATATTTAAATATAATTTGTTAACACTAAATCATACACACGTAAGAAAATAACAGAAAGAAAAGTAAGTTTTTCAATAGAATAAACACTTACATCCATGGCCTTTGATGCGTTGAAGTAACACAAATGTAGTATTGATAGATCCACTGCGGTCAAACGACCATACACTAACTCCATGACTGCACTTGCTTGGTCTTATATAGTACCAGTAAGTAATATTTCTAATCAAAAGAATTTCTGAAGTGGAATTGATAGTAACTTTATGCGTCAACAAGCTTATCTCACATTTTGTTGCTTATCTCAACATTACTTCGTGTCGCGTCTTGTTCAGTGTATTGATGACTCAAATACGTTTTGTATAACACAAAATAATGCAATTTAATATTTAGAAATCACTATAATTGATCATTCCTATATTCATTGAGTTAGTCATTGAGTAGATTGTACTGTAATAATCTACTAATAGCAGTAATTTCATGGATACACTAGATGTACAACATCTGAAAAAGATTCACCCCAGTCTAGAAAATAATGTTTATGCTGCCAATAGACTGCCCATGTACAACCACGTGCCAACGTATATAATATGCAATTTGGATACAGATGATAAACCAGGGTCACATTTGGTAGCTTTATATATCGATGCGAATGACGTCGGTCAATATTTTGATTCATACGGACGAGCACCTGTACGATATCATCTAGAGTTTTTAAAAAGGAATTGTAAAAGATGGAACTGGAATGTTGATAGGATTCAGAATGAGTGGACTTCAGTTTGTGGCGAATATTGCTTAATGTATTTGCTATATAAGTTTCAGGGATGTTCAATGCATAGTTTTACGAGTATATTTACAGGGAACACATTGTACAACGATATTTTAGTGGATGAGATGTTTCGCTCCTATTTTATAGATAATAAGTAATAAGATTTTGTATTTCGTAAATAAAAATTGTAACAAAATTAGGTAATGTATTTTATTGATGATTCAGATTACCGTTGCAATTAGGAACAAAGGAGTATAATATAATAGCACTGTTAATCCGACGCATGAATAGACAATGACGGTATTCAATGAACAATATATAAATAACAATGGTGCGCTAATGACGGTGGAGGCCCTCACCGGATATCAATTAGATAAGAGTTAATTGATCTGCACATCTCCGGAACCGTGCATCCTACGCAAAAACGGACAAACGGTTTTTTTTTTAGGATGGTGAGTCGACGAACGTCGTACTTGTACCACTTCTGACTCAGTGAGCCAGGACTGGTACAACGTAACTACTTTCACTATTGCACTTATTATTGTTATTCCCAATCTGTAGTGATAATGCAGGTCCGTGATTGTATTTCCGCTTGCTAAATACCTATAAAGAGAGAAATAATTTTTGTTACAATCAACCACATTTATGACAAATGGACTCGCATTCGAGATTGTTTCAAACGATCTTTAAAAACTACATCTGGACAAAGCACAAGAAAAGTACATGTACAGCGAAATGTTGCAGTTTCTGTTGAAGAATATGACACCAGATGAAACCGAATCTAGTATTTCGTCTAGAAAGGATGACTCTGAAGACGATCACAGTACTCACAATACCCCTTCGTCAATACAGCCTTCTACAAACAAACGCGTACAAATGAATCCTGTTGACAAAGAAATTTTAAATGCAATTCGTTCTAAATGGCCAAAAAAAAGAAGAACTGGTTGACGATGACCACGCGTTCCTTATGTCATTATTGCCAACGATAAAAAAAAAATCCTGATGACAAAGTGGATTTCAGAATTGAAATTATGCAAGTCGTAAATAAATACTGCAAACGTAATCGTAATCCATTCCACATCGACCCGTCTCCACAACAATCTACATACTCTAATTTGTCTGTGAACGCAAACAATATCGCTTCCCCAGAGTCTCCGTATTCATCAAATTCGTATATCGCTACTCCTCGTCAGTACACTGAACCTTCTGTAAATATTGCTTTTACATCTACGAGTAACACATATTTAGTAGAATCCCCAGAAGTGTATCAACGTTTGTACCCAAATACATCTACTACAAGTGACGAAACACAGGTGACTATATCATCTATACAAGCACTGTTAATCCAAAATTTTGATAAATAAAATATCTTAGTAAAACAGTTTTAAACCTTATTGTAACAGCAAGCATTTCTTTCGGCGGTATGAATTATCTCATTTTTGTGTCTTGACGTAATGTGGCATCATTTATATGGTGAAGTATATAATCAAATGTTGCTATAGACACGCGAAAGTAGTTGAAAAATTTATTTTCGTGCTCCCGTAGCTTATCAAAGAGCACGTAAAATGCTCCATCAACATATCTCTCAAGTAGTAAAGGGTGAATCAAACAATTCTTTCTCCGCCTTCTTCTTCTTAATTATAGTAAAATAACTAGCAGTTGTCGTTGATTGAAGGCAGGACACATAATTGCGTGCGTACTCGACAAATGAACTTTACAAAATGTGACAGTTGTGTTGTGTTGGAGTCGTGCTAGTGAAAAAGGGATGGACAACACGACATCAACACAACTTTTAATGTTGTGTTGATGTCGTGTTGGTTTGGCGTAGTGAGAAAACGGCCTTAGGGTTACCATCTGACCGGATAAAGCCGGTCTAGACCGGATTTTTACGTGTTAGACCGGATTTTACGTCAGACCGGACCATTGTCATACTTGCATGTCCTCTCGCCCGCTCAAGCGACGGGTGCCGCACGCACTCACGCACTGAGCCCGGAAGTCCCGGAACGCAAGCACACCGCAATGTGCAGGCGCGGGCGGCGCGGCACCCCGCCCGCTACCCTCCCTTGCATGATTGCATTGCACGGACGGACCGCAAATTAATGTAAACAAAGCTATTTGTGTTTATTTCTCGCACGTAATAATGGCGTCCGCAAACAAAAAACGTTGTATAGTTACGGTGTGTTAAAATCTAAATATCCTTCTTTTACTGAGGGTAGAAATGACCAAGAAGTGAAGTGTACTATTTGTGATTGTTTTGTGTCGATTGGATACAAAGCTGGAGCTGACATACAAAAACACTTAAAAACAGAAAAGCACTTAAAGAAGAACCGATTGTGCGCCAGTACAAGTAAGATTGATACATTCTTTAACCAAAAAGGTAACAAAAGTAGAGGTGCTGTTGATGCCGCTTGCTTTTCTTGTAGTTAAACACCACCAATCTTACAAAAGTATGGACTGTACTTCGCAGTTACTAAAAAATCTTTTTCATGATTCTGATTTGGCAAAAAATCTAGCCTGCGCAAGGAACAAAACAGAGACTATTATAAATAATGTTATTGTGCCGTATACTATCGAAATTCTTCTTGAAAAACTAGAAGACATTGTGTTTTTTGGATTGTCAACCGATGCCAATAACCACAACGCTGATAAAATATTTCCGATAATCATTCAATACCTTGATTGGAAGACTGGCATGGAAAGCAAAATGCAAACATCCTTGGAAAATGAGACTTCGCTGACTATTGCAAATAACTTGCTTGCAACTCTTGAAAAATACAATTTAAAAGGTAAATGTGTTTCTTTTACGGGTGATATTGCTAATGTCAACTTTGGAGGTGTTACACGAAATGAGGGAAATAACATTATCACCCATTTGAACCGGAACCTAGAGCAAGAGATAGAGTAGGTGTCGGATGTCCTGCTCATATTTTACATAATGCAATACGCTACGCAACCGATTTGTTAGACATTGACTTAGACATAGAATCGTTAGTGATGAATATCTTTAATCATTTTTCGGTATACACTATAAGAACAGAAAAGCTAAAAGAGTTGTGCAGCTACATAGATATAAACTATGAAAAACTCCTTTATCACAGCAAGACAAGATGGCTTAGTCTTTTTCCAGCTATACAAAAGATTCTCAAACTATACGAGCCATTGAAGGAGTATTTTACAACGACGGAAAAAGTACCTGTTCTGATAAAAAAAATTCTTCGAAAATGAAACTAGTGAGATATATATACAAAAGAATTGCTGCGCTAGAAAAAGAGAAAAACTCAATCGCCGAAGTCCTAAGTGCATTAAATGGAACGACAGAGTCACTCAATCAAAGAATCGAGCAAAATTTCATTCATTTGAAAGTACGAGAGCTTTTTCAGAAACACAATATTACCGCAGCTGACCAAACGCAGATAAATAGCGAAATAAAACAAATGTACGAAGAATGTAATCAACTACATAAACCTTTGGATAACACCCTTACAATCCTTAAAAAGCTTCGAATGGATGTGTTTAAAGAAGGATCTACAATTTGAAAAAATCACAAATGCTCTAGTGTTTTTGAGGAACAAAGGAATTCCTGTAAATGACGCAAAACTATTGGAAGAGTTCTGCCTGCTTAAGAATTTTCTGAACACAAAACAGAGCGATTTTTATGATGAGCTCGCTGAAAAGCAATGGTGTATCTTATCTTTTAATACAATTGTAGGGGATGAAAGCGAGTGGACTGTATTTAATTTATTGTGTTGTATTCTATTAATACGCTAGGAGTTACTATTTACTTTGCAACTGAATTAAAACTGTGACATCTGTCTGACTATAGAAAAGGGTTGAGTAGAAATTAAATTACTTGACGAAATGACACACTATATTTACACTATTTACAATTGCAGTAGTTAACACTAACAGGGATTCTTGTTGGTTCTTCTGTTCGGGTTGCTTGCTGTTGCTTGAGTTGCCGCCGCTCGAATTGCCGCCGATCGAATGAAGAATCGGCGCCAGAAACGCTTCTTTTATTTCGTAGTTCGGTGCGCCGTAAGCACCGAGTTAGTGGGAGTGTCGTCCGCGCGTCCCTTGTTCCGATGCGGGGACATCAAGTAACTGTCCAAGTCTGTTTTCTGCTGAAGACAATGCGGATGAACGCAACCACGAACCATACAGTGACGCAGATGGTGAGCTCGGTTCTGATACAAATTATGACCCAGATGGTGCTCAAGAAGGCGAAACTAGTGGATCAGATTATGAGATTTTCAGTACGAGAAACGTTAGGCTTATGCGTTCCAGTAGGATTAGTGAAAGCCCACTTTGGTCCAGCGATTCGAGATCAAGTATGGACGATTCTATATTGCACCAGGAAGTCGATAAAAGGTCTTGCAATGACCCGTCTGTCCTAGAAAACTGCGTAGAAGATGGAGTAGTGGCTCTCCGAAACCTCACTTATCTTGTCATTACCATCAAACTGAACAAATAGATCCAAATCCCACCGATATATTATCAAATCAAACACTAGAGACTGTCAATGAGCATTTACCAACAACCCAGCCCCGGATGACGCAGGATGGGTAGATATTGTTGCCGATATTCCTGATTTTACCTTCGATCAAACATTACCCGGCCCACGCGTGCACATAAATGAAGCCGCAACTGAAAAAGATGTTTTCGATTTACTGTAAACGCCAAACCTTGTTGAGTATTTAGTGAATTGCACGAATGCATATGGTAACTCATTAGTAAACCAAAACCGACCGCACACTAGACATTCAAGACACAGAGTTTTTCATGAGACAAATGTAGAGGAGATGTATAAATTTCTTGGTCTTTCTCTGCTTTCCGAACAAATTTGTGTGCCTGAAAATCGTAGGCTATTTACTCACGCTGACCCATTATATTACCATCCTATTTTCACTTACGTGATGTCGGGTCGAAGGTACGAGCAAATCTTACGATGCCTATGCGCATCTGAATTCAACGCGAAAGGGCCAGATAAAATAAATGGATTTATAGATATACTGACTCGCAAATTCCGTCAAGTCTATTATCGTGATAAGGAGCTATCGCTTGATGAATCTATAATGCCTTTTAGAGGTCGATTAATTTTTCGTACATATATGCGGAACAAGAAGACCAAGTACGGAATTAAGTTTTATGTATTAACTTCTCATGACGGATATGTTTTGAACCAAAAAATGTATTCTGGTAAAGCAGACATTGATGAATCTAATACGGGTGGAAAAACCATTGAAAAACTTGTCTTATGTTTAATGAGACCTTATCTGCTTAAAGGCCATGAATTATACATGGATAATTTTTATAACTCCGTGACTCTCCCTGAGAAACTTCTTGACCTGAAAACACATACGTGTTACGGTAACCCAATACTTCTAGCAAAAAAAAACTGAAAAACGGTGAATATTTTTGGCTATGAAAAGGCAAGGTTTACATGAATCATTGGAAAGATAAACGGAAAGTTTTGATGTTGACAACTTTGGATCAACCTGAGATGATTGAAGTTAACCCAACAGACGTGGGCAAAAGAGCAAAAAACCTAAAGAAATAGCTCGGTACAACAGCTTCATGTCAGGCATTGATCGTGCTGATCAAACGATCAGTTACTATTCTTGTCCTCGGAAGATGATAAGGTGGTACAAAAAAGTTATTTTCCACATGTTGGATGTCGCTGCCTGGAATGCATTCTTCTTGTTCAAAAAGTATGTTATAAAGAATAATGTCAAGAAATACGGATATGTTGAATAGAGATAAGTTGATAAGAAGTTTTACGAAACTTGGTGATGTGGTTGGGAAAGACCTTGTCTCAGTTGACGCATGGAAGAGATATCCACCAAAAGCTCCTGAACCAAGGACCTCAACGCCAGGAATAGGCGTTGGTCATTGGCCAATTCGCATTGCAGCGAATGAAAATTCGAAAAAGAAGTATTGTTTTCTAAACTGTAGAGTTTGCCTAAGTCAGGAGCCAAAAAGACGTAGGGAGACAATTTACCGATGCAGCGGCTGTCCCAAATCTCCTCCACTATGTCCAGAAAGCTTTGAAACCTAGTACAGTATTTCTAATACTCACATACACCACTAATTGGATTATTTATTTCCTTTTCTACGAATTACTTTAGATAAGAAGAAACTCTGTTCAATATGTTGTAAGTTTTAAACTTAGAAGTTCTGTATTTTGATAAGTAATTTTTAAAGTTTTTTTATGGCTTCTTAAGTTACTTTAGTTACTTTAATATTATTAAAAGGATGTCAATTAAATGAATACTAAGATAAGACTAGATACTACTAAGATAGAATAATAAGACTGATTACTGTCAAAGGCAATTAAAGTACAAGTTTGATTTATGTAGTGTTATTTTCTTACCTGTTTAGTGTAGATGACCTTATAAAAGAACCTAAGTTGTTCGAAAGGCAATAACGTCAAGGGCCGTAACTGACATATAACAATTTTAGAAATAACAATTTTATGACAGACCTCCTCTAGACGGTACGCCTATTTCAGTATTGTCAATAAGCTTATCAACCCGTCTACATGGAATGACAAAACGTTTAAAGGCGGTTCCGCCCAACGCTGATGTTGCCTTATAATACATTAAAGATAAACCTATTATGACAGGCCTTAGGCGTTAAGCGCCTTAGGGCGTTCCATAAAAATAAACATTTTCAAATGTATGTAATATGGCAGACCGCCTATAGACGGTACCATCTGTAGCCACACTGTCTCATTAGATTACTCATGATTAGTCATGGTATGACGTTCCGCCTATAGGAGTCAACGTCTGTGGCCGTATTTGTTGTATCAAAAAATTTAAAATATATGTAATATGATAGCATGGCTGTAGACGACACGATAAAATGTATGGGATTTTGAAGTGTCATATCATGACATTTGCAAATAGTCAAGTGTCCCGGAATGTGTTAACGACAGCTCAAGAGTTTCAGAATTTCTGAAGATTTGTCAATATTTCTTTAGTATTTTGCCACACAACGCAAATGTGGAGAGAGTCTTTTATCTCATGACTTCTCAGTGGACCAAAGAGAGAAACAGACTTTCAGTGGAGTAGTGAGAGCCATATTGCTTACGCAATATAACTATAAACATGTGATGTGTGAACAATTTTATTGTGAAATAGCTGGAAAAAACTTTTTGCATGCGATTGCTAGCAACCAAAAATATGGGTCTAAATAATATAAGTAAATAAAATCGTACTTAAATACTATGATTTTTATTTAATGCAGGTGCATGACCGGACTTTTTTTCCAAAATCAGGATTTTTAGAAGTGTCAGACAGGATTTTGCATTTTTAGGCCTGGTAACCCTAGTCCTGGTGCAATTTATGTTTGTAAATTGCCTCTACAATATGTACTGGAGAAAATCCTTGATAAGATTTGTGATTCGTAAGGCGATTGCACTTACAAATAGAACATTTCAAGTTACACCTACATTTCTACTTATTAACTCACATGTGGAGCGCTAGTGGGAGGTAGAGGTAGCATTTCAAGCACCTCTACATTTTACCCTTTTTTTCTAAAAATGTTAATAACATTTGCAAGTCAAGTAGTTTGCAAATTAGCTACATAATATCAATGTATCCCAATATTACATTGGTTGCTCTACTTTATAAAAAACTAAATAAATAAATTGCTGTTTATTCACATTCAGTCATTAAACACACACTAAAATATTAATTTCTTTAATAAGTTCTTTATAATAATAAGTTCTTTATTTCCAAGAGGTTGTACATCACGATATTTGCATAACATTATTTAATAAAGCTACATTAGTACATATACTTGAAAACAGCCGAACTAGGAGACCTGTGCATCAGCTGTCAGCGCCATATCCCCACTGTTAATTTATAGAAATATTAGGATGCAAGCAACAGTTAAATAATCAAATACTATCTAAAAATTTGTACATTCCGCTAATATAACTTAAGTACAATGAAATTGTTACCACTTATTACTAATACCAGGGTACAAACAAAATAATAATAATTTATACTACTAATGCCGTTCCTCTCTCATAAGATGTGTAATGTATGACTGTAAGAAGTAATTGTGTTATGAGTGTAATGTGTGTGAGCAGTTATGGGAGAGGAGCGTGTAAAATGTGTGTTGTGTGTGTGTGTGTGTTTGCGTACATGCATGTGTATGTGTCTGGTTATTATGATTTTATATGGGTAGTATTACAGGTGACAGTTATATAAGAATTAATTTTTAAGTCTGAATACTAAGCAGGTTTTCAGTTTCATTATAAGTTAATTTTTGTAGGTAATTATGTACAGTTTTTTTACAATTTATTTTATTAAGGAAGTTACTTTTTTTCTTACTTTCTTATTAGTTTATTTCTTTAAGAAAGTTTAACACATTTTACATTTATAGAGGTTGTATAACACATTTAAAATTTCACAATACTATTTGTTTTATTTCATTAAAAATAGCCCATAGATCCTCTATTCGGTTCGCTATTATCGGAACACTCCACGAATCCAAAATACTTACTCCACGAGTTCAGATTAAAAAGGTCCTATTAAATAAATTATCTCAGGGATATCTAACATTTGATGTGTAATAAGTCGCCTTGTTTTGTTGTTATAATAATCAATCAAGCGCAAATGTATAAATTTTTAAAAGTTAGATGCTAGACCCTTATATCTAGAGCTTTTCCTTTTCAAAATGCAATTAAGTGAAATTATTGTAGTGTGAAGCTATCGTAGTTAGTTAATGTAACTGAGTGAAAAATATTCAGAAATTGATAATGAGGAACTCACTTGTATTTTCGTTAACTATATGTTTATTTGAGGAAGCATCTGGCTTTGGTTATGCCTTATCGCGAATCCCTGCATGATACCCTGATGTATAATTATGGGATATTTATGTAAAAAAGCGCAAGGAGACAATATTTCACCTCTTTTTCTCCGAAACTCACTGTCCCTCCGAAAACTCCAGATCCAGCAAATGTACATCGATATTAGATGAGAGAAAACAGCATAGATTACTAACTAAAATGGAAAACAGAGAATGCGTTGATAAGGCGCTGTTCTTCGATTTTATAAACCATAGATAAATAAATATAAATATGTAGCAAGCTATTGGGTGCGTTTGGCAGAAAAAAGCGCTAGCAAGCGCTTACAAGCGCTGAAATAGTTTTCGGCCAGGACACGATTGCTACTTCAGTAGCGCTGACACAATCCGCCATTTTGCTTATTTCATTTGTTTGTTTTGAAGTAAAGTTTATAAGTTTTTTTTTGTGCAATATTAGTTTTAAGTAATATAATGACATGAATAGACATATAGATGTTATTAAAAATTCATGATTGGTAAGTTTTTAATATGAATACTTTACAAATATATATTCAAATTAGGTTAGGTTCCCCGGTTAAAACTGACTTCGTGTCCTAGAGGAAAATAGCTACTTACGATTTGACAGCGCTTACCGCTTACGATCGCCATTTTGCTTACAAGCGATTGCTAGCGCTTTTTTCTGCCAAACGCACCCATTATAAACAAACTACAAAATCGATTTTTTTAACTGGCTTTCCGGCTCTGGGTTCTAGCCCTTCTGAGCCTATCATTTCTTTCTGAATTTTCATTTTAATATTTTTTCTTCACAATATGCTGATGCGTTTGCACATTGCGAAGCCCTTGGGAGATTTTGACGATATCTCAACCCATCGGACAGTTGACGACAACAACCACTCAAGTTCATAAGGCACCCAAGCGATCAAAATAACTTGAGGTGTATATCGACATCAAAGCGCTTGTTTTGTCATTTTCTCTACTAGTTCACACGCGCGGACACTTAATTCACAAAATCGCATCACTTTTAGGAATCAAAATCCACTTCAAACCATTTTTCAGGTGACAAAAGAGGAGCGACAATCCGTCTACGGCCAAGTTTGCGCCAAACTCCCATTATAATTTGTGGTACGTAGTACCATGGAGTTTAGGTAGTACTATTATCATAGATAAGCTAGTATAATCGGGAGAACCCGTAGACAATAGACATCTCTGTCTACGTGTCTACGTTTATTTATCTACATCTGCATCTGTGGTTTTAATTTGGCGGGATGGCGCGTTGGCATGTAAAATTGTGTAAAATAAAAAGATACGACGTATAATACATTAGTAGTGATGTTAATAATTTATTTTAGAAATGTAGATTAAAATATAAATTTGCGAAACATTGTGATTTGCGATGTATATGTGAATAGCATGTGGTTAATTATGTTTTACCTTAGTAGTTGTAGTGGTTAAAAGACGAAGGACATGAGTGCAAAGTTTTTTATATACGCAGGCCGTCGTTGGCGTGAGTTGGAAACAGAAAGCGGGCGCCTATCAGGTTGGGGTCGTGCTAAGTTTGTATTCTTAAGACACGGCCGACTGGTAGTAGCGCGTCGTGGTCCTGTACTTCGCGCACTGCGAGCTTTGGCAACCGGCCGTGGTGTTGCCGCACGAGACGGGTTGCCGTTAAGGTACACTGCTATTGTCGTGTAGAAACACGTAATATTCTTCTTGAACGACATTTATTTGCCGTTTTAGATTTATATATCTGTAAGGTAAAGCGGGGGGACGCCCTACACTTCGCCTGGTAAGACATGCAGGAAGTCAATGCATGCAGGTGTCTCTTGACCATGTTTTGTGGCACTCCTTAGGGGAGACCTATGTTCAGCTGTGGACTTGTGAAGGGCTGTATATATGATGATGAAGATAAAGAGTCTGCCTTTCTGCATTTCCGTTTGACCGTATGTCACAGATTTCTAACTTGTAAATGGAATGAGTTAACCCTTCAATTCCCATGCATTCACATGCACCAAGCAAATCCCGAGCGGTTGCATACGACTGCACCCACCCACAACAATTAAAACTTATATTTAGTGGAATAAGCTACCGCAAAATGTGTTTCATGCTCCTACATTGAACGCCTTCAAGAACAGATTGGGGTCGGCTTTAGTAATCTGCTGCACTATTTAAGTGATTATTTTAGCTTTAGTTGACAGGCAATGATGCTATTGATTACCATTTAGCTGCTTTTTATGCCGGAAATCTTTATTTTTCGAGATATCGATAGTTAAAGTTTTGAGGTTATATTGAGTTGGCTAGACATCCGGTACTTGATTTTGATAATGTTTTTAGTCTAGGAGGCTTGTAAGGGTTAATCTTAAACCTTCTACACTGTTTTTAGATGTCGGAAATGCATTTTAAATTAATTACGATAAAAACAAATTTCACCAAAAATAGTGTAAAAGTCAATTTGTTCTCGTCGTATTATGAAGTAGATTTACGATACTTGATTTTTTAATTATGTTTTCAATTTAGGAGGATTGTCAGGGTTAAGCTCGAACCATTTACACTGTTTTTGGATTTCGGAAATGCAATCGGAGATGAAATTTTGAATTAATTACTTACGTTTTAACACAGATACACTCATAAAAAAGTTAATCACTCGGACCCAGACAATCCATTTCTTGTGGTGGAGATGGGACTTATATACAACAAATTGAGTTGCAGTGGAGAGCAGTCAAGAGGTTTATCCGAAAACAAAATTATAACAATTCACATTACATTATTTCATTTACCACTCTAGTAGCAGAGTTAAGAGCAACTAGACTTTGTAAATAAAATAGGTCGAATCGGTTCTAAAACCGAATTAGCACACTCCGACTCCATGTAGTTTTGTCTGCCCTACCCCTAGAGTGTTTTTGTAAAGCCGTAGGCACGGAGGGAGAGCAGCCCCCGTCCGCTGTAGGAAATCGCAGGCACCCCCCTGTGATTTGCTACGCAAGAGCAAAGGGGCTGCACTTCCCGCAGTGCCGAAGCCGTTGCAGAAGTAACTGCGTCAATATTCCTGTACAAAAAAAATGAGGTTATGATTTTACAAAAAAAGGGGGGTTTCAGGCACTTCCCCCTTTTAGGGCGAGGTTCCTACCCCAGTCCCCCCAACTCGGTGACCATATATTCATGCGGCAGATTACTAAAAAAATTCATAAAAAATGGGGGGGGGGTTCCGGCACTTAATTCTTTTAGGGGGAGGTTCCTACCCCTCCCCCCCATCTACCCGCCCACTCGGCGACCAATAATTCGTGCAGCACATTACTAAAGAATTACCACAGATTGGATAAAATCTCCAAACATTAAGAAGCACACGCATCAGCTTTTAGCTGCTAGTGTGTTTATGTATAAATAAATAATAATAATAATTCAAACTCCTTCATAGAATAGTAAGTCTCTAAGGCTAATATTTCCAATATGGACCATCGATTTCAAAGCCCATATTTTTTTTGTAGATAGTACTCACTAAAAGAAAGCGTTTCGCAAAGTTTTAGGTTGCGGAAACTTACGGTTCATGAGATATATTTTTTTTAACTTTTCATACAAATTGGCAAATAACACGCAATTACAAAATAAATTTGCAAACGATTGATGTCAAATGTCAATTAGTGTAGGGTTCTGAAAATTTTTAAAGTATCGATACTTACTCGATACCAAGTATCGCATCAAAAGTATCAATACTACTTGGTATCGAGTACATTTCGTTAATTTTGGAGACGAAAATTATGACAAACCATTTAGATGCATATGAAGAGCTGATAAGTGCAATTAAATATGTATATAAAAAAGAATAAAGTTTACTCTATTTTAGTTCCACCTTTGTACTTGTATTTCATTATTTGAAACTTGTTTGTATTTCTTAATTAGTACAGCTTTTGTACTTGTGTATTTTATTGTTTGGAACTTTCTGTATTATCTGATTCTAACTACAATAAAGTGTTTACTTACTTACTTAATATCCAAAAAGTACCCAAAACTGAATCAGAGCACCCCACTATCCACGTGGTCTTCTCTGCCCTACCCCTAGAGTGTATATAAGAGCCCGGAGGCGCGGAGGGAGAGCAGTGCCCGCCCGCACGACCTCAGGTGCCTGTGCTTTCCTACGCTAGGGCGGAGGGACTGCTCATCCTGCAGCGCCGGAGCTGCTACGGAGCCCCGAAACACGACTTCCCTGCTTCTAACCCCCCACCTCACTTCCCTGCTACTAACCGATCCTCCCATAATCCCCACCCTTTTCTTAATTTAATCTAGTTCATTTTACCCCTCCTCCCCATATCCCCCCTCTATTTCAACAGACATACGGAAACGAGAATAATAATAAATAATTTAATAAATTTTAACCATGAATATCTCCAAAACCATGGGTTCCGCAGGGTGGGGATGGCACAGGGGGGTAGCCATCCCCCCTCCCCCTCCCAGCCCTAAAACCTTATATATCGATGGTTCATATTGGAAGTCTCCAAAATTAAGAAATGTACTCGATACCAAGTAGTATTGATATTTTTGATGCGATACTTGGTATCGAGTAGGTATCGATACTTTCAAAATTTTCAGAACCCTACACTAATTGAAAGCGTGAAGTGATTGACGTTTGAGATCAATTATTTGTCTATTTAAAAATAACTTTTAGTGTTAATTTTTCTATATTATAGTTTCTTTTTTATATATTGTGTGTAATTAGTATTAATTGTAAATATTATAATTTAATTTCATTAATTTAAAAAAATGTTGGCCATTATTTGTCAAATTTATTTTGTAATTGCGTGTTATTTGCCAATTTGTATGAAAAGTTAAAAAATATATATCTCATGAACCGTAAATTTCCGCAACGTAAAACTTTGCAAAACGCTTTCTTTTAGTGAGTACTATCTACAAAAAAAAATATGTACATTTAAATCGATGGTCCATATTGGAAATTTTAACCATCTCTAAACATAATTATTTATGCGTTAAAGTGCTGTGGGTGAGTGCGGTCAAATTTTATCTGACCGCACTCACCCACACCCACAGAAATAAAATCAAAAACAATAAATCTCGTTTGTGTGGAAAAAAATTTGCCTTATTAATTTTGAACGATATTCTTCTTTTATTAAGTTAAAACGAATAGGTGCGTACATACTGCGTTTTATAAAAAACGCACAGATTAAGTCAGAGCGTAAACAACATCGCCATACCGGTTCCTTGAGTATTAGTGAATTGAATGTGTCACAACATATGTTAGGTTCGCACAAATGCAATTGTTTCGGGACGTGTATAATAATTTAGTGAATAACATTAAGTTCAAAACAAATAGTAAACAGTATAATCGTATATTCGGATTAAATGTATTTTTAGACGATAATAAAATAATTAGAGTTGGTGGAAGACTGTGTAATTCTACTTTTTTCAATTTTGATAAAAAACATCCTATTTTAATATGTAGTAAGCATATCTATACAGTGTTATTGTGTAGGTACGAACACATGAGGCTGCTTCACGCTGGTCCACAGCTACTTTTAGCGACCATACGTGAGAGCTGGTGGCCATTAGGAGGTAAAAACCTCGTTCGAAAGATAGTGCGCGACTGTGTTGTGTGTACTCGTATAAGAGGTAAGACTTCGTGTCCTATTATGGGTAATTTGCCATCAGAACGTTTATAACCTGGGTTCCCATTCATAAGAACAGGCGTTGATTATGCCGGACCAGTTTTCATATTAAATCGTAAGGGCCGGGGATCTAGACTTATTAAAGCATATATTTGTTTGTTTATATGTTTTACTACGCGCATGTAGTAGCGTATGCACTTGGAACTTGTCACTGGTCTCTCAACTAATGATTATATTTTAGCTTTAAAATGTTTTATGAGTCGAAGTGGTAAACCAGAAATTATATTTTCCGATAATGGGAAAATTTTTGTAAGTGACGAAAAGGAAATTTCTTCATTTTTAACTAGTAATTCAAAACAAATTATTGAATTTGCTGCTAATGATAGCATTAATTTTAAATTTATTCCCCCATACTCACCACACTTTGGAGGCCTATGGGAAAGTGGGGTACGATTGTGTAAGTACCACCTTACACGTATAGTAGGTAATGCTAGATTGACTTATGAGGAGTTTAGCACGGCTTTAGCACAAATTGAAGCGGTCCTGAATTCCCGTCCTATGTCACCTTTGTCCGCAGACCCTACAGACCTTACACCTCTCACGCCTGCACATTTCCTGATCGGAAGGACGTTAACTGCTACTGCATGCGAGGATCTTACAACGAAACCAATACCCGCGTTGACACGCAACAATTTTTGACAACAAAGCTGAACAATTAAGTCAACATTTCTGGCAACGTTGGTCAAAGGAATATGTTGCAGAACTCCAACTGAGAAGGAAATGGAAAAAGCAAAAGGATGACATCCCATTACGTTCTTTGGTACTGATCAAAGATGATAATTTACCGTCGCTCAAGTGGAAATTGGGACGAGTCATACAAATCTTCCCTGGTAAAGATGGCGTGTCTCGAGTCGCTGATATTCGCACCTCTAGCGGAATCGTTCGTCGTGCCTTCTCGAAAATCTGCCCCCTGCCGCAGCAACCATCGAATCAAGAAGAGGAACATCAAGTTGGAAGCTGAAGCTTCCAAGGCCGGGAGCATGTTACGACTACTAACGCCACCTACGAAGTCGAACGCCCTCTGATGTCGTATCGTATAAAACGCGAGTAGGAAGCTCTTGAAAGAAGCCTCAGGAGAAGCATTCATTAATATTCTAAACGTCTAGCAAGCAACACAAATTTTGTTAACCACATATTATATTATTTCAAATTGTAATTTTAAATAAATATTTTTATTTAAAGACAAATAAATGATTCATTTGTTTGTCTTTAAATAAAAAACGGTGTGGCGTAGACACCGAGTTTGTGCGAGCGTTTGTCGTTGCGAGGCCCTTGTTCTGATGCGGGGTGCGGGAGACGTGTCGACGTAGGTGCGGTGCGGGGCGACGGAAGATCATCTTCTCGCCGTCCGCAACAGCCATATTGGGTTATTAGTCACAATATAGTAAAACAAACTTCTATTACACCTGTCAATATCTACAATTGAGTCCATCTTCCTGTACTCAGTCAGAAGGTAATTTATACTCAAAGAGAATTATAGGTTGCTTACGAAATAACAAGAGTTGTAAAATGCGAAAATATAGTGCAGCATGAAATTAACTGATAATCCGACGTCCGCATCTACATTTGTAAAAATATAACTAAATTCAAAAATATGGGTGTCAAATATTATTCAGTATGAAAGATTTAGGATATCTGGACATCCATATTATGCGTAGGTAAATGTAAGGTTAAGAAAACATGTTTAAAAGTAAAATTACCAGCATCAAGCACAGTATAAAATAAACCATATAATATCCAAGGTTGACAATGGTGATGGAAAGGCAAAGTCGCATCTCCTAATTTTGTGCGGAATTCAAATAAGGCCATGAATGAAAGTATTCACAAATCGACAACAGCGTTATTACTTTTGCAACAAAAATTAGCGGAACTATGTAAATATTCAGTACAGCATTATTAGAAGAATTATGACGTCCAATTTGTTTTTAGATTTTGATATTTCTGTGATTAGCATGACAATTTGCGAACATTGCGCTCAGTCTCCTATTTGACGTCCGCATATTGGACGTCGCAGGTGGACGCCACATTATATGGAAAATTGGCCATAGTGGACGTACACTAAGTTATGGGATACTCATCAATCATATATAATTTCAGGAAATATGAACCTCCTGCAGCAGCCAATGAAAAGAAAAAGGACAAAAGTCCTGCTCCTGTCTCATGCAAGGAGTGCCAACGCCATCATGAGCATGTTGTCCTACCACAACATTGCACCCAGTAAGTTTTTGATTTTATTTATTTTTATTTACTTATTTTATCTTCAAGGGAAACATACATAATTTTAATCTATTACATAACACATATTAATCTTACATTGACGAAAAGCGAACACCATGACATACTTAGGTGTGTGAAAACTAAAGTGAAGTTAAGTCAAAGTAATGTGTGATATTAAAATGAAATGATAATTTAACTATTATCCATTACAGCTTCAATTTCATTTTTAAACTGTCCATATGACAGAGAAAATATATCAACATGTGAAAAGTTGTTATTATAAGAATTACTTTGTAACTTTATAAGAAGTAATTTGTAACTACTAATAACACAGGCCTGAAATGTTTATTCCCTTAAAAAATTAATTTTCAATTTTGGTAGGTATTAGGTACTAAGCTATTAAAGGAGATAATAAAACAATACCATTAAGTAAATTTTCTGAGAAAATTCCTTTTTTTAATTTCTCTCAGTATTAGTACTAATGACATCTAAATCATATTACGATTTACGTGTAGAGACTGTGATATGTTTTTTTTGTGTGGTTTATTCTCCGAAACACAAAATATTTCTAAATCTATCAATTTTATAAAAAGTATTTTAAAATCAAGGTGAAACCAACCCAAGAAGTGGATGCCGCATAAAATGTGTTGAACTTGTGTTTGTGAACTATGTAAATGGTCATAGGGAGAAAACATTCTATAATTTTGTAATGTATTTGGATGGAATCGCAAAATCATATATACAATTGTTACTTTTGCTGTACAAACACATAAGTTTTGAAGGCAGAAGAAAAAGAAGTAATATGTCTTTTTGTCCAACTTCGACCGAGAGGTCAATCGATAGATTCAACTCTGCTGGGCAGCGTTCGGGAAATTACGACATATCTTCTCGTCAGGTATACCTCAATCTCTAAAAACTAGATTGTACAACCAGTGCGTGTTGCCAGTGATGACTTACGGATCTGAGACGTGGTCCTTCACTGCTGGCCATATGAGGACGCTCAAGGTTGCTCAGCGAGCTATGTAGAGGGCTATGCCCGGAGTTTCTCTGCGTGATAGACTCAGAAATGAGGATATCCGCAGTAAAACCAGAGTGACAGACATAGCCCAACGGATTAGTAAGCTGAAGTGGCAATGGGCCGGCCATATAGCTCGAAGAACTGATAACCAATGGGGAAGAAAGGTTCTCGATTGGCAGCCTCGTACCGGTAGGCGTAGTGTAGGGTGACCCCCACTAGATGGAGTGACGACCTGGTAGGATATGCAGGAAGTCGATGGATGCAGGTGGCTCAGGACCGTGCTTTGTGGCACTACTTGGGGGAGGCCTATGTTCAGCAGTGGACTTTTTGATCCCTTTAGCATGATTTTTAACTATTATACAGTTGTATAATGGAGTAAAAATTTAATTTTAATTTAATCATTTTTTTTTAATAAAAATTCTAAAAAAACTTTAAATAGGAATGTCATCAACAAAAATAAATCTCGATGTGCTAGAAAAACAGACAAAGATGTATTTTAAATTAATATACCTAAATATATAGTAAAAAATTGTATAAGTGCAGGGGGTATATGTGCAGGGAAAAAATATAAAATTTTGCAAGCCTGTGTGATTGTACATACAATTTTTTAAAGTCATACATTCACAGTAGCTCAATAATATAGTAGGGAATGACCACATTCTCACAGAATACCAGAGTGAAATATTAGCTTAATGCTGCTGTGTTTCATATAATGAGTGTAGAGAAATGGAAACTCTTTTTACTGGAAATAAACAAGTCATTCCATTTTTGTCGTCAAGTGTGATAATGCATCTGCATTTTGATTCTTAGTCGAGGATAGGTGTAAGTGGCTTTAGGCCACAGCCGTCACTTACCATCAGGTGAACTGTTTACTTGTTTGTCACCTTTATGCTATAAAAAACATCTGTTACATCTGGAGTAGGCCCCAGCAGTGCGGGGCAAAGAGAGAGAGAGAGAGAGAGCGGTTCGCCGTTCTTGGGAACACAGAGGCCGACGCAACTGGACAATGACGCAAGCTATCGGCAGGGTGCAAGTTTAATATACTACAATAGTTACAGTATAATAACAGTTCGCAAAATATTTATCATACAATAAATATTTAAATATGAAGAAAAGCTTAAACATTTATGTAAGTGCTTGCTGTAAATAACTCTGTACAGAAATCGAGTAGATTGGTGACTCCAACCTGGGTTTGGTACCCGCTGCCACCAATCTAAATTTTTATTGCAATTTTCAGCTCAGGAAAACATTTTGGAGAAACCCATGCGAGGAATAAAATGTTGCATTAGTTCTACAATAAGCGTGACAAGCAAGTACACAGTCCACCTGTTGGTAAGTGGATGCTGTGGCCCATAGACATCTACATTAATCCTCAATTAAGAATCAAAATGCAGATGCATGATGTCATGTTATGATGCATGATTATCACCTCTCAGAACTATGCTGGAATGCCTCGTTTCTAGTAAAAAAGGGTCTTTCGTGTTTTGAGATATCTTTATAGTCTGGCTTTGCCTTTCAGGTGTATGAACAATGCGAGATTTGATAGGCTGGTAAATCTCAACACAAATACAGTGGGAACTCAATTTGTGGCAACAGCAAACGCCAGCACGCAAGTCACCCAGTCTCTCACCAACCGCCGTCCATCGATCAATAACAGTAATGATAACTTGCCATTAGCAGGAATACCGCTAGTGGATACCGCAAGAATCACAGAAAAGACTTTAGAAGCACAAACAGGCAAACCTAAGGTCAATAGCAAACAGCAAAGTGTAGATATTCTTCGGAAGAAAACCGACAAAAGTTCCATTAATAGAAAACGCAAACGTTCACCAAGTTCAGGTAGCACTTCTACTATAGTGACTTACAGCCAAAAAAATTCAGCAGATGATGTTAAAGAATTAGTTATAGATGAGAAAGACGTAGAAATTTTGCGTGAATTCCTGCTTAAGAATAATTTTGGTGTTGATGTGGAGCAATTCGACAAGAGCGAGGCTTACAAAGAGAAAGTGTTCTATAGCATCAATCCACTGGTAGTCATCGAACGCTGCCCGCGTATCAAGCTGATGCTTGCTGAGCGGCAGAATCCAGTGTCCAATCCAAATGGAGTGTCAATCAAACAATTCATGACAGTCCTCGGTCTGCAGACCGTTGAAGAACGAAAATCACAAGAACGGAGGTATAAGACCAGAGCGAGAGTTTCACAGATAATGACCTCAATGTCTCACAAAGATGTATTTATGTCTGAAAATAATAAAGAAAACGAATCTGTCCCAAAGAAAATTGAACATAAAGCGGAGAAGAAACCAGCTAAAGTTTTAAGAGAAGATAATGTTAGGTTTAATCATTTAAAATTATTGTCACAAGAAATAGTGAAAGGTAGGCAGCCTTTAAGTAAGGCTCAAATATCGAGTCCTCGAGGCCAAGCTCATATACTGCAGGATAGAGTGGTGGAGCTCAGCAGTGAAAGTAGCAGCAGCAGTAGCAGTAGCTCTGAAGGTGGGGCGTTCCAGGCGCCACCTTCAGTCGCGCCCAGCAGGTAAGTGAGTATTAATTCTTGTTCATTTTTTTTTTTTATTTATTTAGGACAACCAACACGAAGTACACAAACACAATGTAAATACTACAAATAACAGGAAGGTTTATATCTAAGTGTCATCTTAATTAAAGGTTGCCACGGCATGCAATGTGGACAATGAATATGTTTTTTAAAACTTACAACTATAAACTTAAAACTAGGTCTAAATGTTAGTTAAAAGTAAAGAACTGCATAATTTTTCGTTTGAATTTTTGAGGCTTATCAGCAAAAATATCAACGTCACATGTCTTGCAGAGCTGGTTATATTGCCTCTGTAACCTGTTTATGGTGGCGTGGTGACACAAATTAGTTTTACTGCCTTCAACTGAAAAGGGGACATATCGTCTGACACGCACTAGCTTAAAAGGTACCTTGAAATTTATTGCACTTAGTAGGTATGGACAGTCTACGGTTCCATTGACGATTTTGTGTAGCAACATGAAATCTAGCAAAAGCCTCCGCTGTTGCAGGGTACTTAATTTAAAATACGTCAGTCAGTCTTCGTATGAGGGTAGATCCTTTATTTTGTAAGTTTGGTACGAAAGATACCACAAAAAATGCTTCTGGATACGCTCTATGCGTTTCACGTAAATGTCATAAAATGGAGACCAGACCTGACTACAGTATTCGAGGCTGGAACGGACTAAAGACTTGTACAAGGATATTTTTGTAGAGGTCCTCTTAAATTCTTTGGAATTACGCAACACGAACCCCAACATTTGAAGGCCCCTTGTAACAATTCCATCAACGTGCTTATGAAACCGCAACTTTTTGTCCGGAATCACACCCAGATCCCGCAAAGTCCACTTCTACCAAAGGATGACCATCAATATTATACATAGGCGTCGGAACATTTATACACCTTGAGAATCTTATAATTTTACATTTATCGAGGTTCAAAAATAGTCTGTTCTTAATGCACCACAGACATCCGGTCCAAATCCTCTTGCAATAGGAGTGAGTCACTGTGGTCTTTGATTTTCAAGGACAATTTTATGTCATCTGCGTACATAAAGCAGGTCGCGTGTTTGAAAACAGACGCTAGGTCGTTTATAAAAATATTAAAAAGGATCGGACCGAGATGGGAACCCTGAGGAATACCAGACGTAGGTAGAAATGGTTCTGATGAGTAACCATTTACCACAGCTCTCGATTTTCTCTGCCTGAGGTATGAAGAGAACCATTCGAGAAGATTGCCAGTGATGCCCAAAATTGAGAGTTTGTGAAGTGAGATGTTATAATCTACAATGTCAAACGCCCTACTGAAGTCTGTGTAGATGGTGTCCACAGACAAGCGGGAATCGAGAGACTTGGAGACATAGTCCACAAACGAAACGAGATTTGTAGTTGTAGAGCGAGATGTTAAAAAGCCCGCTTGTTGGGGTGAGATTATTTGTTTTATGTGCCAAGCCAAAACAGGACAAACTAATGATTCAAAAACTTTAGCGACGACAGACAATATGGATATTGGTCTGTAATTTCTGATGGATCCTGCGTCTCCTGATTTATAAATTGGGACAATACGTGCCTGTTTCCAGACCGAAGGGAAAGTACCCGTTTTTAAAGACATTGAAATTGGTTGTTGGTGATGGTGAAAATTACAAACAAAGGGGGTATGTCGTCAGGTCCAGCTCCCTTGGCCCGATCTAGACCAGTATGAGTTTTGAGTACTTGATCTTATGAGAAGTGCAGATTAGCAATATTATTTAAGGTACAAATTTGGTCAACAGTGGTCACAGACAGCACTGTTATATACCGATGCGAAAAATGTGTCAAAGAGATTGCATATGCCGTCACCATTATCTGCTTTGTCATCTCCGAAGATCATGGATGTAGGGTAAGCATTGCTATTACGTTTTTTATTTTTTATGAACGTCCGGAATAACTTTGGATTTTTGGAAAGTGCTCCCTCCAGATCCGCGACATAGTTTTTATGACAGGTGCTTATTAATTCGGCGCATCTTTTGCTAAGTGTTTGTAATGCAAGTTCGTCCAGTGGATTTTTGTATTTATGGTGCCTCAAACGAAGTTTGTTTTTTTCCTTGAGGAGATGTATGAGTTCCTTTAAAATAGCATAAAATTCTCTTACCATGACATCAACCGAACATGAAGATTATATACGGTCCCATGAAACTGAATTTAAATGTGTTATGATTTTATCGTAGTCCGCCTTATGAAAGTTATATCTTTGGCTTTGAGAGTTAGGCAATAAACTTGGCGGATCACAACACGAAAATGTTAGAACTAAGGGAGGGTGGTGAGAGTCGGAGTTACTCAGAAGAGAGTCACCACGCACCACACCACTGACCTTCAGCGTGCTGGAGAGAACGAGATCAAGAATTCTACCTTTGTCATTTAAAATATAGTTATATTGAGTGAGATTATTAAGAGCAATAAAATCCAGAAGAACATTATCTAATGAGCTTTAGGTTATAAAACTGAGTGGAGAAGACGTATTACATTTATCCCAGAAAATGTTACCCAAATTGAAGTCGCCCATAATTAATGTTTTTGCATTTGATTCCAACACACGGTTTCTATTTTCAATGTAACAATCAAGAATGTTTTTTGTAAAGGTGAGGGAAGATATACACAACACAATAATATGTTTTCAGAGGAATTACCTCTTCCGTCTATCTCTAATTCCACCCATACATCCTCACAGTCGCTTTCCAGATGTGACATCCTACGAGAGCAGATATGTTTGGATACTGCAATGAGCACCCCGCCACCAGGACCAGGTTTATTACTATGGAAGCCACTAGTCTCCCGGTCGCGCCTGTACACTAGATATCGCTCACTAAAAAGTTCGCCATCGTATATAGTATTGTTAAGCCATGTTTCGCATAAGAAAATGATGTCGTACTTAGAACTTAATACACTATTATAAAACTCTGTGGTTTTTGTGCGGATGCCGCGTACGTTTTGATAGTAAATATTTAACGTATTGAATTTTAAGCCTTATTAACTGTACGCTTAGCTTGAGAAAATTTAGATTAGCTTATGATAACCGTTCCAATGTTGTTGAGTTTCGCACAAGTATGTATTCCGATGTATCCGTCTTTCGCATGTAAATGCGGCATGTAAATATAGGCATTTCGCATATAAATAGATCTAATATATAAAAATTAATATTTGTTTGTTCATATTTTACGTGCTTCCATACCATTCATCGGATTGCGGTAAAACTTTGTCAACATATTGCTTGCACTTCCGTAAAGGTTATAGCCATAGTTGAACTCGGTGGGTGGTGCTGTTGCAGAATTCAGATATCACCCGTGTGAAACCGGGGCATATCGCTAGTCTCATCATCATCATTACAGCCCTTCACAAGTCCACTACTGAACTGAATGCCACAGAGCACGGTCCTGAGCCACCTGCACCCATTGACTTCCTGCATGTCTTACCAGGTCATCACTCCATCTAGGGGGATCCCTACACTTCGCCTACGGGTACGTGGCTGCTATTATAGAACTTTTTTTCAAATCGCTAGTCTAATATATAAAAAATAATATTTGTTTTTCATATTTTATGTGCTGCCATACTGTTCATCAGATTGCGGTAAAACTTTGTCAACTTATTGCTTACACTTCCGCGAAAGTACAATTAACTAACCGTAGATGGTGCGCGTATCGTACCGACATTTTATTTGAAAGTTATTGATCATTCAAGTTCAATGATTTAATTATCATCCCTAATTAAACAATATAAATTCGAAATTGAAATCGGTATTTCCACAATTATTTCTTCTTCTGTGGCAGCAATGCATCGGGTACCACCAAGTTAGTAATAAAAATAATATTAAAGATGTTAAAAATTAATTACCTTTTTCATTAAATATAGTATAAGGGTGGCAAACGAGCACACAGTCCACCTGATGGTATGTGGTTGCTGTTGCCCACAGACTCTACATCTATCCAGTAAAAAGGTTCTCCAGTTCTCTACACTTACCAAACAAAATACAGCAAGCGTTAAGCTGCTATTTTACGCTGGTATTCTTTGAGAGAGTGATCCTTCCCCTGTCGTCCTGTGTCTGTGCTACAAGTATACCAGTAATATAAGTGCAGCATCCATAATAATCTCTATCACTTTTAAGTCAGTGACTGTGACATCACGAGATTAATACGACATCTTAAAATTTAGTAGCATTTGAACATTTCGCCATAAGATCCGTATAATAAAATAAAATGATGTGTCGTACCAAGTTTGAAGGAGTATCTCTTGCCCTCTCTTAATAACAGTGTCCCCCCCCCCCCGTACAGTGTCGAACTATCTAATTGTCACATTATAGAGTACTGCCTAAAACCCTCTATGGTCCGGAATTTTTTACAAAAGAGTACCTTGTAATCCAACGAGTTAAAGATCCAATGATAAGATTCTTTATCTGATGTACAAATCATACTTCATTGTGTCAAAGTTGAGTACAATAGTGGTGGTGCGTACAAGTCATAACTTGTTCAGTCATGCATTAGGGAAGGTTATAAAAAAATATTCAATAATAAATAATAGATCATGTCGGATTAAAGGGGTGTCGTATTACTGAGGGTCCACTGTATCAATCAACCTTAGTGGTCAGCCACCGCAGTCTACTTTACCAAACAATGACACTTGTTTCGTTATACTATTGACATTGGTGTGAGAGGGTGTGAGGGTGAGTAGTTGTAATGGGGATAGTGCAAGCAATTGACGACTCTGTGGTGCAGTGACTTAGCAATGAGTGGCTGCGCTGGGGGTCGCGGGTTCGAATCCCGCACGGAGCAAGTATTTGTATGGCCTACAAATAATTGTTCCGGGTCTGGATGTTTGTCCTTGTGCAATTTATGTTTGTAAACTGCCCCCACGATACAGGAGAAAATCCTAGTGTAGGGGTAATGTTTTTGAAAGAAAGAAAAAAATTGAGGGAGGACAGGAGGTGTTTATCAAACTGAGTAAGGCACATCATTTATTTCAACAAACTTTTTGATAGATAGGTCATGCATTGAGACTTTATTGTAAGGGCGTATACTTTTTTTTGTAGGAGACAAACAAGCATACGGTTCACCTGATGTTAAGTGACTACCGCCGCCCATGAACAACCGCAACACCAAAGGAAACGCAGATGCGTTGTCGGCCTTTCAGAAAGGAGTAGGCTCTTTTTTTGAAGGTCCCTAGTCGTATCGTTCGGAAAAATCGCCGGTGGTAAACAATTTACGTAATGGATCTTAGCTAATTAATTTTTAACGTTATTAATTTATTGGGTTTCCACAAAGTTAATGCCCGATTCAATAATTAACAATAATAATATTTGACGGTCCTATGATACATTCGTAAAATATTTTATCGCAGCACTACATGGTAGTGAGTTTGAGTCGTATACTGAAAAGTGTCTATATGACCTACAAGTATTTTTTTTCTTGTCTGGATGTGTGTCCTTGATCCGTGTGGAATTTTTGGTATGTAAACCATCTCCATGATAGAGGAGAAAATCCTATAGTGAAGGTAACAAATTGGCTTCATATTCCTGTCATTGCCTTACGTTGGCAGAGATCTTCTCCAGTTGCCTTCAAAAATCCCTTTTACCTACTTTAATGTCATCAACCCATCTCCTATAATGGTCTACCTCTTTTTCTTTTCTTGTATCTTTCTTTTAAATGTGGTAGATCCACGTTGTAACTATATTATAGTTGTAGCACAAATTAGTCTGGTTGACTGTAAAATAGCAGTAAACACATTTCGTATGGTGAGAGTAGATAACTGGAGATTCTTGTTTCTGACAACGAGACTTTCCATCTTGGTCTTCAAGGATGACAACGCATCTGCATTTTGATTCTTATGGAGGATTATGGAGGATGAATTATAGTTGTCTAGTTCACAGTATGAACACCATCAGGTGGACTGTGTGTTTGTTTGTTTTGACCTTATTCCATAAAAAACATACAAAATGTTATTGTTTCACATATGTAGTTGTATAACATGTGAACGAAGTAGAAGCCTGTGGCACTGATATTTAAAAAAAAATAAAAACAAAACTTTTGAATTAAATGTTTGAATTTTTTTTTGCCCTTTGCCCTTGCACCTGTGGCCCTGCGAAATGACAAGGTCAAAGATGGATATGATTTGAATATCGATAGATTTTAATTAATTGATTTGCTTAAGTTTGTATTCTTTGTAAAATGTCAGTGCTTTTACTCAGTTCACATGTCACACCCTATTTTTTTCCAGACAGTAAAAAAGATCATCCAGTATAGTGTGATTGTTTGCAGATCAACACATGTAAACAGCGGGCCCGGTGGCAGCAGTGGCGGTGGCAAGGTGCGTGGCGGCGGCATGCGCGAGTACTCGGCGCTGGAGGACGCGGCCATCGTGTCCTGGATCCGCGCCGGGAACCGCGCGCGCCTCGTCAATGGGAACAGGCTGTGGCGCGAGCTGCAAACCGAGTACCCCGAGCTCACCGGCCAAGGTCAGTAATAACTAAGGCCCATGAGATGCAGAGGTAAAACCTTTTGCTAGCGTCATAAACAGAACGCAGTAAAAGTCTAAACCACGCGCTTATGCTTTACATGTATTTTCTCATAGACAATTTAGTTTTTGGTTATTTTTTAATATCTTTTAGACATATTTAGATTTTTATTGTTTACAAACCTTATCTGCGTTGAGCTACAAATATTGCCGAAAAAATTATGTAAATTGGCCTAAGGGTTACGAAGGAGATAGATTTCAAAGAATCGTTTTCTCGCGCCATGGAAGCTCCGCTCGCTTCGCACACTCCGCTCCAATTGCTTTAAAAAAAGTTAAAATCGACTTGCAAATATTTCACGATGAAGGTTTCGCCTTTATTGCGGTTTACCGATAGGCGCGTTAGTGTGTGTAACTGCGATTCGTTCGACTCGCGATCGTGACTGAGCGTTCCCGAGGCCTACGCACACTAACGCAATGTGTATGTGTACGCACGGATAACAACCTAAGTCAAAACTTTATCGTAAAATAGAATAACTATGCTATTTTTGTGAACTAGAAAACTTCTTTGACCGCATTGAGCGATTTTTGTTAGAGCAAAAACTTATGGGTTCGCGTCACCGATGACCACAACATACACACGTCACGAGAATGTCTACCAAGTGGCGCAAGCCAGATTTGCGACGCTTAGTATAGCGGCCTGTGTACATATACAACACGTAACATAATTAACGCACTTTGAGAAAGTAGTTGTTCACAATCGTTTACTGAATCGATTCCTATCATTTTTAATATAGGTAATTTTTTATCCCAAAAATAATTAAAACTACGTAAATTACAGTCGCACTAAATCTGTACAGTCAAAACAAACTGATATGGACCGTAACTTAAGGTAATAAAACTTTTAAGAGTGCAGTTTTATTTGTATTACAGTAGGGCCTCGTTAATGAAAATAAAGAGGCAAAAACAAGACCCTTTCCGGATTATCGAGGCATCCGGATTATAGTATGCCATATTTAGTGGTAATAAAACACATATTTAACCTTAGTTTCTTTAATCAATTTTTAAATTAAAGCATAAAGACAAAAAATGTAAACATTCAAAATTACAACCATGTAAGAAAAACAGTAAGTTAAAATAAAACATTTATTAATTCTTCTTGAATTCACCGGGACCACGTTCTGTTAGGCTAACAAACTTCAAGATTTTGTCTTTGTTTTTCTTTATGTCGCTTACAGCTGTTGAACTGCCTATACCAAACTTCCGAGCAATGACAGGGCAGCTGTCACCTTTACCTAACATTTCTATAATCCGCAATTTGTCTTTTATTGTTAATGTTGAATGTTTACGTGGCAGCGCCATGATGTTAGCGAATTGAACGCGCTAAATTGACACTGTACGTACTACATGAAAGACGATAAACAAAAGATTGACGTCTGATAAACAGAAGAAGAAGACTGATTGACTCATTGCAGCCCGCAACTGCACCCGCCCGCCTCCCCTGAAACCACCGAACAAGCGGGAGTCCGGATTACCGAGGCCCTACTGTATTACTAATTCTGTCATTCAATAAAAAATAAAGAAAAATTAACTTTATTTCAAGCACGTTAAAGTCTTTGCGTTCGTGGATTTGTACTGTGACCACAACATTCTTCCGGAATTAGTATAACTAATTTGATAAATAATCATTGCATAAAAATGTTTAACTAAAAATTCAGTGTATGTATTACCTATGATTATAACATAATTACTAATTGCGGTGTCTGAGGGTGTGCGTTAATTACGTTAGGTACATATTGTATATACATATTATATCATTTAGTTTTCAGTTCTGCCGGCAGTCCTTATAAGTGACTTTGTTTTTATACATAGTGTAAACTCTATGTAACGAGCAACTGATAATATGATAACATATAGATAATCCATGACTCCTAGCAACAGTCTACACGTGCACGCGATCCCAATTTGTAAACAAAACAATGGATTTCTTAGAGAGTTTGGTATGTATGATGCCCACAGTCGAGTTTATTACGGGCTACGATAATAAAGAGACAATAGAACGAAATAATATACACAGCTGTACAGTTTTTACTAATTTTTGCAACTTAAAAGTACTTTTTATTATTTGATTGTTGTCGTTATTGAGATGCATAATGCTGTATTTATAGATTGTATCATGGTATGGAAGACGTGCTAAACCAACCAAAGCCGAATGATTTCGTCGCTTTAGGGACTTTGTCGTTAAATCGAGTAATGTTACATCGGGTTTACACTGTATTTAGTTATGTACACACAAACAGTCATATAGTGAATTTGTACAAAGGCTCTATTTATGCCAGAAGGGAAAATATATTAATAACTTAAATTGAACATTTTACAAAACTTCTGAACCAAAAAACTAATTATCTTCAAAACGGTTGAACCGATTTTTTTAAAACATGTTTAAGAACCACAGCTAGAGAACCTGCGTTTATATAAATAAACGCACCCAAATTGGTTCACCTGATTAAGATTTACAGTACGTAGGACATACAAAAAGTATTCTAGATACTATTAATATTTATTTTACATCTTTTCGAAATATTCTCCATCATGTTCATGATGATTTGACAGGTCGGAAATCGCTTCTCCGTAGGCAGCCACGGCTTCTTTGGCGCTTGAAAAAACCTTGCCTTTTATTTTTTCTTTGACTCTTGAGAACAAAAAGAAATCACAAGGAGCTAAGTCAGGGCTGTAGGGTAAACTCCAAGTCACCCAGACTTAGAGTTTCAACACCAGATTCCTCAGTAAATGCTTCTGTTCTAAGGGAGGTATATGAAGAGGCGTTACCGTGATGCAGCATGATTCCCCGAAGCCGGGACTTTGGTCTTCTCTCCCGCACAGCTTGAAAAGATTTGGCTAATGCAACTGTAGTATACCATTTAGAGTTGACTGACCTACTATTTTCCAGCATTGACGTCGACAAATGTCCACTCCGCGAAAAAAAACTAGCCACCATGTTTTTGCCGACGTTGCGAGGTCTTTGCAGACAAAAGTCGGTAACTGTCTTCTGAGTAGACAGTCTGACAGACAGACTATGTCGATGATTACTTTTATTTCCCGGATCATATTGATAGATTCATGTCTCGCCACCAGTAACGATTTCTGAAACAAGCCTAGATGCCCCGTTTTCAAAACGTAGACGCATTTCATGGCACTAATCCACACGAGTCTGTTTTTCGCTTTCAGAGAGCAAACGAGGGATCCATCAACAACAAAGCTACCTCACTCCAAGGTGTTGATGTAGGATGATATGAATGCTCCCCGAACTAATGCCTACAATCTTTTCGATGTCCGTATATGTGATTTGTGGGTCTTCTCGCACCAACATTTCAATAGTCCATACATTATCTGCCGTTACTGCTGTTTGCAGCAGTTTGGGGCCCCGGTTCTTTGGTCACCTTTAAGGTTAATTTCACCCCTTTTGAATTCAGCAAACTTCCTAAAAATTGATGCACGTGATGGAGCTGAGTCCCCGAATGCTGATTGTAACCGTTGTAAACTTAATGATTTCTTAAATTTACGCGATTTATTTTTATTCAACGTTGTAAACTTATCTGTTCGGTCAAACCAAATTTAAAATCATAATTAGATCATAGCGCGCAAATGTTCACTGTTAAGATCCATCATTTTAAATGAAAACCGCGGGAAGCATTGCAGGAAAATTATGGAAATTTGTTGTTTTTTTTTTAATATTGATTAGCTTGTTTATTGAGTTCTATTTTTAAATAAATTTGCTTTTCAGAAACATATAACATGTGTGCGTTCCATTTTTAAATTTTGAGCATCTCAAAACTTATAGAGTGACCTACGTACCACAGACAGACACACTCTTTAGTCTCTCAGAGAGACTAAAGAGTGTATAAGGCAATACCAGTGTTGTCGTCTGCTAGCAATGAACATTACCAGTTTGCAACATATCACTGATATGCAGAAGAAACAGCTTTGGTGATAGCCTCGTAGCCTTGTGGAACACCAGCGTTAATAGGCTTGTAATCAGAGCAAGTACCGTCTACTACCGTTGAGCCGTGGTAGCTCAGATGGTTAGCGCTCGCTGTAAATTTCACAATACGCGAGCAAACCGGGTTCGATCCCCGCCGGCACCAATGAAATTGTTAATTGCGATTTTAAGTACTAATTTACCACGTGCTCGGCGGTGAAGGAAAACATCGTGAGGAAACCTGCATGTCTGAGAAATAAGAAAAAAAACGTTTCGAAGACATGTGAAGTTCGCCAACACGCACTGGGGCAGCGCGGCGGACATTTCCTTGTCCTAAAACCCTTTCCGAAGTGAGAGGAGGCCTGTGCCCAGCAGTGGGACGTATATAGACTGTAACTTTACTTTTACCGTCTACTACGACCTTGATGCACCGATCAGCAAGAAAACTGGTGATCCAATAGGGTATTTTACCCATTTTCAAAAATTGATTTAAATTAATTCTAGAGTGATAATGAGCCACTATAATTTTTATATAATATTTTTAAAACCGAATAGTGCCATAAAAATTACTTTTAATCTATCGTTTTAAATTTTCACGTGAAAACGAAAGCCGCCATGTTCTTCAACTCGTGACGTCACAGTCGACGATTCAGCCGATTTTGCAAAGGAATAATATACTTTTTAATGTTTAATAATGAGTTGTCATCTATATCATTATTGTGTTGTGACTGAATGTAAAAATACGAGCATAAGAACGCTGGGAAAGTTATGGATTAAAGTGCCAACTGATTTAAATATGGAAATACCTGGTTAAAACTGGCAAGAAGAGACCCAAAGGCATTGTCTACAAAATCTTAACTATACTTCTGAATATAATTTTGATGTAAGTATGATTGTTTAAAAACATTTCATTTCATTTCTACTAATAGTTCTACTCTAACCTTAGTATTTAGTACTGAAAAATGTCAAGAGATGCGATCATTAGCGTCGAATTACAACTAGTTATCTTTTCGTTCACGGCAAAC